TCGGGGTGCGACAAGGGGAGTTGTTTGCAAGGAGAAGGGATGGAGGAGGATAATTAGGAAACACCTGCACGTCCGAGTGCGCCGAAAAAGGAACATAGGCAGGCGAAAGCAGGTGGAAAAGGCGACTGCGGACAACTCGACGAGATTAAAGAGGGCGGGACACGCGAATCGAGCAAAGCTGGAACGGGCGAGTCACGAGGAAGGCAGAACACGCGAGACGAACATAGCCGAATCGGGCGAACTACCAGCTGCACCAACAAGTGAACAGGAACATAAAAAAATCGGCGCCGAAGGGCGGCGGAAGAGCCACAGCGAAAGCGCCCGCCGCAAAATCGCAGAGGTGAAGTCGCCGCAGGATCTTGTCTTGCGCAGCGCAGGCCGAAGAGGAGGGAGGTCCAGGTCCGAGCTTTCGTCGTCCGACTCGGGAAGATGAAGCCTGCACTCGAGAGATCAACCAGCGACGAAGGTTCTCCCAGGAATCGGCCCAAGCATCCTGGGAGACGCAGGCAGCCCGCCTGCGCGCGCGGCCACCAGCACAGGGGGCGGATACCTGCGACGATGATGATGATGATGATGATGATGATGATGATGATGATGATGATGATGATGATGATGATGATGATGATGATGATGCTGATGATGATGATGATGATGATGATGATGATGATGCTGATGCTGATGATGATGATGAGGATGATGATGATGATGATGATGATGATGATGATGATGATGATGATGATGATGATGATGATTATGATGATGATGATGCTGCTGCTGATGATGATGCTGATGATGATGATGAGGAGGAGGATGAGGAGGCGGAAGCGGAGGAGGATGCGGAGGAGGAGGAGGAGGAACAGGAGGAGGCGGAGGATGAGGAGGAGGAGGAGGAGCAGGAGGAGGAGGAGGAGGAGGAGGAGGAGGACCAGTGTAAACCCAAGAGTCATCGACGATGTTGGAGTAAACCCTCCCTCCAAGCTCCCGCTTCATAGGCCCCTACAACGGTTCATTTCCATTGATGGAACGGCATCGTTGGAAACCACCCGTTTGAAGACCCTGAAACATACCAAAACATTGGTCTCGGGATTCCGACGCCATGGATCAACCTTGCTGTTGCGTGTTGACGATCCTGAATCGTGCCAGAACGCCATTCCGAGGACTTTAACACACATAACCAACGAAACTGTTGCACCCGCATAATCCTGAACCCTTCCAACAAACATCTGTTTTGGTATGTTGATCATGGGAACCCGTCAAACTCCTGCAAACATTTAACACGAATGCGCGCGGCGCTAAAGCGAGGGCCACATTTTGAAAAGGAACCGCCCTCAATCCGTGACACCTTTGCAATTTGTTTCAGTGGATGCGTGCGGCGCTAAGGCGAGAGCCACATTTTGAAAACGACTCGCCCTCAATCCGTGTAGCTCTGGCAAATTGTCAAAACGAATGTGCGCGGCGCTAAGGCGAGAGACACATTTTGAAAACGACCCGCCCTCAATCCGTGGAGCTCTTGTTTTTTTTTCCCAACCATCCTGTGGTGTTGGGTTCTCGTTTCGAAGAGACGGTCCCCGCGTCTCGTCCTCCCTCGTCCCTCGTCCCTCCTCCCCCTCCCCCTGCTCCCTCCTCCCCGCGTTTCACCGACCCAGTACAGCGTTTCGTGGCCCCATAGGGAGCTCCACCGAAGGCCCCAGAGGGGGTGGCCACATGCGTCCGCCACACCCAGTACAGCGTTTCGTGGTCCCACAGTGAAATCCACCCAAGACCCCAGTGGGGGTGGCCGCATGCGTCCGCCGTACCCTGCACAGCGTTTCGTGGCCCCATAGGAAGCTCCACCTATGGCCCCAGTGGTGGCCACATGCATCCGCCACGCCCAATATAGCGTTTCGTGGCCCCATACGGAGCTCCACCTAAGGCCCCAGTGGGGGTGGCCACATGCGTCCGCCACACCCAATACAGCGTTTCGTGGCTCCATAGGGAGCTCCTAAAGGCCCAGGTGGTGTGGCCACGTGCGTCCGCCACACCCAGTACAGCGCTTCGTGGCCCCATAAGGAGCTCCACCCAGTGGGGATGGCCACATGCGTCCGCCACAGCCAGTGCAGCGTTTCGTGGGCTCATTGGAAGCTCCCCCTGTGGCCCCAGTGGGGGTGGCCACTTGCGCCCGCCACACCCAGTACAGCGTTTCGTGGCCCCATAGGGAGCCCCACCTGCGGTCCCAGTGGGGGTGGCCACATGAGTCCGCCACACCCAGTACAGCGCTTCGTGGCCCCATCCGGATCTCCACCTAAGGCCCCAGTGGGGGTGGCCACATGCGTCCGCCAAACCCAGTACAGCGTTTCGTGGCCCCATAGGGAGCTCCACGTAAAGGCCCAGGTGGTGTGGCCACATGTGTCCGCCACACCCAGTACAGCGTTTCGTGGCCCCACAGGGAGCTCCACCCAAGGCCCCAGTGGGGGTGGCCACATGCGTCCGCCACACCCAGTACAGCGTTTCGTGGCCCCATAGGGAGCTCCACCTGCGGTCCCACATGCGTCCGCCACACCCAGTACAGCGTTTCGTGGCCCCACAGGGAGCTCCACCTGCGGCCCCACTGGGGGTGGCCACGTGCGTCCGCCACACCCATGGCAGCGTTTCGTGGCCCCATAAGGAACTCCACCGAAAGGCCCCAGTGGCACCGCCCGCATGCGTCGTCCACCACTCAGTCTTGTATTTCGCGGCCCCATTGATTGGGAGCTCCCTCAAGCCTCAGTGACACCGTCCGCATGCGTCCTCCCCACCCGGTACAGTGTTTCGTGGCCCCGTAGGGGACTCCAGTGGCCCGCCCGCATGCGGCCCCCTACAATTGTGTAGCGTTTTGTGGGCTTATAAGTAGCTCCGCCGAAGGCCCCGGTGGCACCGCCCGCATGCATCACCCCCTCCCGTGGCTCCATAGGGCGCTGAAGGTCCCCGTGGCGCCGCCCGCATGCGTCGGCCACCACCCAGTGCAGCGTTGCGTGACCCCGTAGGGAGCCCCACCGAAGGTCCCAGTGGCACCGCCCGCATGCGTCGGCCACCACCCAGTACAGCGTTTCGTGGCTTCATCGGGAGCTCCAGCGAGGGGCACCGCTCGCATGCGTCAGCCACACGCAGGACAGCGTTTCGTGGCCCATAGGGAGCCCCACCGAAGGCCCCAGTGGCACCGCCCGCATGCGTCCCCCCCACCCATTACCGGCACCCACAACGCGTTACCCACAACCTGCATATGCTTGGGTCCTTCGCCAGGATAGTTAAAACGAACGTGCGCGGCGCTACGGCGAGAGCCACATTCTGAAAACGACCCACCTTCAATCCGTGAAACTCTTGCAAATGTTTAAAACGAATGCGCGCGGCGCCAAAGCGAAAACCACAGTTTGAAAACCACCCGCCCTCCATCTGTGAAGCTGTTGCCATTTTTAAATCTTCAGGATCAAACATGATAAGGAAGTCTCAGGCGAAACGCACGGCCCGCCCTAAAAACTGGCTTTCGGGGTGCGACAGGGAGAAGTTATTTATAAGGAAATGGAATGTAGGCGGAGGAGAAGGAGGAGGAGGAGGAGGAGGAGGAGGAGGAGGAGGAGGAGGAGGAGGAGGAGGAGGAGGAGGAGGAGGAGGAGGAGGCGGAGGAGAAGGGAGGAGGAGGAGGAGTCCCATCCAAAGGGGTCGGCGCGGGCGGCCAGCTGGCGTCCCCCTCCTGGCAGGCGAAGGGCCCGCCGTGGGGGCAGGCCGACTCGGCGCTCTCCCGCGCGCTGCTGAAGGCCGCGGCGGCCTGCGGCGGCACCGTCGTCGACGTCGTCGTCGGCGTCGTCCTCGTCGGCGCCGTCTCCAGACATGCTCGCACTGTGGAAAGATCACGACGGGAGGTTTTCGGCCGTTTGCGGACACCAGGGGCCCTCGCCGAGCCCCGGGGCCGTCAAAAAGGGTTTCGGGATCAAAAACGGGTCATGGGGAAGGGGTCGGGACTTCTGGGGACCCGGTATTGAACAAAATCAAGACATCGCATGTCTGCGGTGGTGTTGGTGGTGGTCGTCGTGGTAGCCGTCGCCGTCGTCGGCGCCGTCGAGCGGTCTCCCAGACCAGAACTTATGTACATATCCACCGCTTGGGGGACCGATCTCCCAGGGCCCTAGGAGGCAGTTGATATGGACATGCTCGGGCTCCAGGGGGGCCGTAAGATAGCCGCGCCCGCTGCTTCCTGAGGTCCTGGGATGTCGGTTCCCCGGGGGCCCCCAATCACCAACTCCCCCGCCCTCCACGCCACGCCCGAAGTGGAATAGGGAACCCCTCGCGCGGGGGGTGGTCCGAAGGCATCAGCATGACGGGTGGGGCCCAGGCCCTGGATCGTATATGATAAATATTTCGGCCTCGAACGGTCGTCGTCGTCGTCGTCGCCGTCGTCGTCGTCGTTGGCGGTGGCGGCGGTTGCGGCGGCGGCGGCGGCGTCGGCGTCGGCGTCGGCGGCGTCGGCGTCTGCGTCTGCGTAGGCGTCGGCGTCGGCGTCGGCGTCGGCGTCGGCTTCGTCTTCGTCATCGTCGTCGTCGTCATCATCGTCGTCGTTTTCGTCGTGCCGTCGACGACGCCACCGTCGTGGGGGCCCTGGGGGGACCAGGCATTCGAGGTTGCATGGTCGAGGCTGACACCAAGAGGCCCCCGCAGTAGCCTCAACACACACGGCAGCGCTGGGGGCCCGTTGAGGCCAGCCTGGGCTGCCTCTCGGGCCTGTCTGTGCGCAATCCACAATGGAGGGCGCTGGGGGCTGTCTGGGGCTCTGGGGGCTGTCTGTCCGGTGCCTCTGGGGGCAGTCTGGGGGCTGTCTGTGCGCATCCCCAATATCTTGCCCATCGGGCACGTCCCTCGTCTTGGCCCGCCTCCTCTCTTTCTCAGAGGGCAGCCTTCGACCCGTCGCCTTCGCTACCACGCTATACCACGGCATACCAAGCACCAGCATGCCTCCATCCCTTCCCGTCTGGCGGACCGTTGGGGTTCGGATGGGCAGCGCGGCCCCCCCAGAGCGGGGCCCGTTCTTTCCCTATGACCTTCCTTCTCCTCCTGCTCCTCCTCGTTCACACTCCTGCTCGTGTGCGAACCCAGAATCCAAGGAAACTTTTCCCTCCTCCTCCTTGAGCTGCCCCTCCCTCCCCCTCGTTTCCCTTCTTGCCCCTTCCTCCTTCCGCCTCCCCTTCCTCTTCTGTGCGGGCAGGATTTATATCCATATCCAGTGCGTCTTGGACTTTCTTGGAAGTGACACCACATGGCCGAGGCGCACTGGACATGGATAAACATCGAGCCTCTAGGGGGTAAATTTGTCCAAATCCAGTGCGCCTCGGGTTTCTGGGGAAGGGAGCCCGAAACTCAATACCGCAGTGGATACGGACAGAAGTATTGCCCGCAGTGGGGTCGCCGCCGCCGGCGTCATCCTCATCGTCATCGTCGTCGTTACCGTAGCCGTCGCCGTCGCCGCCGCCGCCGTCGCCGTCGTCCACCGCCGCCGCCGCCGTTGTCGTCGTCGTCGTCGTCGTCGTCGTCGTCGTCGTCGTCGTCTTCGTCGTCGTGGTCGTTTTCGTCGTCGTCATCATCGTCATCATCGTCATCATCGTCATCATCATCGTCGGCGTCAAGCCTCATCGTCCAGCGCCGCAGTCTACACCGCCGCCGCCATCGTCGTCGGTGCCGCCGCCGGCGCAGCCGCCGCCGGCGTCGTTACCGTGACTGCCGTAGTCGAGCGTCGAGCGTCGAGCGTCGAACGTCGTTGCCGAGCTTCGTCGGCGTCGTCGTGCGACGTCGTCGGGCGTCGTCGTCGTCGTCGTCGTCGTCGTCGTCGTCGTCGAGCGCTGTGGCCGCCGCCGCGCGCTGTCGCCGAGGTTTGTCGTCGTGGCCACTATAGTAATCACCATCGGCGGCGTCGTCGTCGTCGTCGTCGTCGTCGTCGTCCGTCGTCGAGCGTCGTCGTCGTCGAGCGTCGTCTCTGTAGTCGTCGCCGCCGCCGCAACTGCCGCTGTCGCGGCCGTCGCCGCCGCCGTCGTCGTGCCTTGCCGCCGCCGCGCCGCCAATGCGGCCGCGGAGGCCCGGGCGAACGAGAGCGTCCTGGAGGCCTTCGGCTCTGGCGCCGAGGCGGGCTTCGGAGACCGAGGTGCCGAGCAGCTGGCCGCGGGCTCGGTGCCTCTGGTTCGGGACGACGGCGACGGCGGCGCCTTAGCGACGGCGACGGCGGCGGCGGCGGCCCGACGGCGACGGCGACGGCGACGGCGACGGCGACGGCGACGGCGACAGCGACGGGCGACGGGCGACGGGCGACGGACGACGGGCGACGGCGACAAAGGCGATGGCGACGAAGGCGACGAAGGCGAAAGCGACGGCGACGGCGACGGCGACGGCGACGGCGCCGACGACGGCGATGGCGACGGCGACAGCGACGCCGACGGTGACGGCGACGGCGACGGCGACGGCGACGGCGACAGCGACAGCGACGGGCGACGGGCGACGGGCGACGGGCGACGGCGACGAAGGCGACGGCGACGAAGGCGACGGTGACGGCGACGGCGACGGCGACGGCAACGGGCGACGGCGATGGCGACGGCGACGGCGACGGCGACGGCGACGGCGACGGTGACGGCGACGACGACGGCGACCGCGACGACGACGGCGACGGCGACAGCGACGCCGACGGCGATGGCAACGGCGACGACGGTGACGGCGACGACGACGACAATGACGACGACTGACGACGACGGACGACTAGCGACGACCAACGAGTGACGACTGCCGACCGACGACCGACGACCGTCGACCGACGACCGACGACCGATGACGGAGGATTGAGGACCGACGACCGAGGACCGACGACCGACGACCGACAACGGACGACCGACGAAGGACGACCGACGACCGACAACCGCTGACAACCGACAACCGACGCCGCCGACGACCGACGACGACGGACGACGACGAACGACGACGACGACGACCGTCGACCGACGACGGACGACCGATGACCGACGACCGACGGCCGACGACCGACGACCGATTACCGACGACCGCCGACCGACGACGACCGACCGACGACCGACGACCGACGACCTGGCATCGCTCGGACGAGTGCATTTTTCTTTCGTCGAGGACCATCGAGAAGCATCCTTGATCATTGGGCAAAAAATCCACGCACGAAACCGAACAAATCACAGGGAATGGACGTCCGAGCGATGGCCAGACGACCGACGACCGACAACCGACGTCCTACGCCCGACGACCGACGACCGACGACTGACGACCGGCGGCCGAGGACCGACGACCGACGAACGACGACCGAGTACCGACGACCGACGACGGACGACAACGACGACCGACGACGGGCGACATCCTCAAGGGCGACGGAGACGACGACGATCGACGACCGAAGGCCGACGACCGATGACTGACGACCAGCGACCGAAGACTGAGGACTGAGGACCGAAGAGCGACGACCAACAACCGACAACCGACGACCGACGACCGACAACCGACGACCGACGACTGACAACTGTGGGCTTACTACCGACGACAGGCGACCGAGTACAGACGACCGACGACCGACGACCGAGGACCGACGACCGACGACCGACGACCGACAACCGACGACGACGACGACGTTGAGGACGACTGTAACGGACGACGACGACGGACGACGACGACGACGACGACCAACGACCGAAGACCGACGACCGACGACGGACGACCGACGACCAACGACCGAAGACCGACGACCGACGACGGACGACCGACGACCGACGACCGAGGACCGACGACCGACCACCGACAACTGACGATCGAGGAACGACGGACGACGACCGACGACCGACGACGGACGGCCGACGACCGACGACGACGACGATGACGTTCACGACGACGGTGACGACCGACGACCACGACGACGGACGTCGACAACGACGACGACCGACGACCGACGACTCACTACCGACGACTGACGATTGACGACCTACGACCGAGGACCCAGGACCGATGACCGACGATGGACGACGGGCGACCGACGACCGACCACCGAGGACTCACGATCGACGACTGACGACTGACTACTGACTGCCGACGACCGGCGACCGACGACTGACGACTGACTACCGTCGATGACGACTACGACGGACGGCCGACGACGACGACCGACGACGATGATGACCGACGACGACGACGACGGAAGACAGACGAACGAGGACTGTCGACAGACGACCAGCAGCGACCGACGACCGACGACCGACGACCGACGACTGACGACTCACGACTGACTACCGACGACCGAGGACCGAGGACCGAGGTCTGACGACCGAGTACCGACGACCGACGACCGACGAACGACCACCGACGACCGACGGGTAGTGACGACCGACGACCGAGGACCCAGGACCGACGACTGACGACAGACGACCGACGACCGACGACCGACGACCGACGACCAACGACCGACGTCGGATGATTCATCACCGATCACCTACGACCAACGACCGACGCCCGACGACCGACGACTGACGACCGACAACCGACTACCGACGACTGACGCCCGACGACCCACGACCGAGGACCGAGGACCAAGGAGCGACGACCGACGACTGACGACCGACATTCGACTACCGACGACGACGACGACGACAACCGCGACGACGACGACGGACGACGACGGACGGCGACGACTACCTCCGACATCCGACCGACGACCACCGACCTCCGACCGACGACCACCGATTGACCACTTATCGACGACCGACGACCGACGACCGCGGACCGAGGACCCAGGACTGACGACCGACGACTGAAGACCGGCGACCGACGACCAACAACCGACGACCGACGACGACGACGACGACGGACAACGACGAGGACCGACGACGGACGACGACTACGACTACGACTACGACGACGACGACGACGGACGACGACGACGACGACGACCGACAACGACGACGACCGACGACGACCGAACACGACGACGACGACGACCACGTTGACGACGACGACGACCGACGACCGACGACCGAGGACCGACGACCGACGACCGACGACCGACGACGACTACGACCGACGACCGACGACCGGCGACCGACGGCTGACGACCGACGACCGACGACCGACGACCGTCGATGACTGGTCCGAGGACTGGTTTAAGACGACCGACGACTCACTACCGACGACTGATGATTGACGACCGACGACCGAGGACCGACGGCCGTGACCGACGACCGACGCCCGACGACCGATGATTGACGACCGACGACCGACGACCGACGACTGACGACCGACGACCGACCACCGACGACTAACGACCGACGACCCACGACCGAGGACCGATGACCAAGGAGCGACGACCGACGACCGACGACTGACGTCCGACGACCGACGACCGACGACCGACGACTGACGACCCACGACAGACGACCGACGACTGACGACTTACTCACTGACGACTGAGTACCGACGACCGACAACCTACCTCCGACGACCGACGACCGACGACCGACAACCGACAACCGACGACGACGACGACACCGACGACCGACGACGACGACCGACGACCGACGACCGAAGACTTACGTTTGGTGCAAGTCCGACACGAATCCGACGTATTTCCGACGTACGTCGACAGAAACCTGTCGTAAATCCGACGTGCATCCGACGCAGATTGCGCCTCGACCGAAGAGGGCGAGCAGCGCGGGCTCGCAAGCGGGGGGGGGGGGGGCGAGGGAGAGGGAGAGGGGGGTGCCGGAGGAGGAGGAGGATGAGGAAGTGGAGGAGGAGGAGGAAGAGGAGGAGGAGGAGGAAGTAGAGGAGGACGAGGAGGAGGACGAGGAGGACGAGGGGGATGAGGAGGAGGGGGATGAGGAGGAGGACGACGAGGAGGAGGAGGAGGAGGAAGAGGAGGAGGAGGAGGAGGAGGAGGAGGAGGAGGAGCAGGAGGAGGAGGAGAAGGAGGAGGAGGAGGAGGAGGAGGAGCAGGAGGAGGAGGAGGAGGAGGAGGAGGAGGAGGAGGAGGAGGAGGAGCAGGAGGAGGACAGCTGACGCCTCGGGGTCAGCATGGGGCTGGAGATTCGGACGCACCACCCTGCAGAAGCGGCACGAGCAGGGGGCCGCAGGGCCCGCAGAGTGCACGAGGGGTGCACGTCGCAACGCCTCGCCGCCCGGCTCGCCTCGGAGGGCGCCGTGTGGCCGGGAGCTCCAAGAAGCCGTGCTTGGCACCAGACGGACTGCAGCGCCCGCCCACCGGCCCTCCTGGGCTCGGTGGCCCGTGGGCGCCGAGGCCGAGGGGTCGGGGCAGCATCTGCAGATGGCATCTGTACACCACCGTGCCTGGCCAGGGCCATCCCGGGCCCCACTGTGGTTACACGCCCTCCTGTTTTCGGCCAGGGGGGCGTAGACACCCTGCCAGGGCCCAGGCTGGCCCTGGCGAGCCACGGTGTTGGTGTATAGATGCCTGCTGCGTGCAGCACCGGAGTGCCTCGAGCCTCGCGGCCATCGGGCGGGTGGCAATGTGGGGTGATCTATCTTGGGGTACATGGGGGGGTGGAGAGAGAAAAAGGGCCGTGAAGGGCCCCTGCAGGCTTCTTGGCCCGATGCCTCGGTGTGGGCCCCTGCAGGGCGGGCTCCAGGGAGCGAGCGGGCAGGCTGCCCGCCGCAGAGAGGTGCGCCAGGCCGCCTCGTCTCTGTGGCACGCCCGCGCGGGTGGCGCGCGGGGTCGTGCCCAGTGCAGTCAGCAGCCCCCTCCGCACCCGCCATCTTGCAAAGAGGCGGCTCGGCCTCTCCGACGCTGCTTGATCCTCCTCCCTTCCTCCTCCTCTTTTCCTCCTCCTCGCTGTCTCGTGCTTCTCTTTCTGCCTGTCCTCCTGACCCCTGCCTCCTCCTCGCTGCCTTCTCTCCGGTAACCTCATGCCCGTGAGAATAAACACTAGGGGATAATAAAGTTCGGGGTTCAGGAAGAGATAATAAAAGTAGCCCAGCAGACCTCAGCATAATCTCGAAGTAAGAGATGATCAAGAGGAGACCAAGCCGAGGAAGCTATACAAAAAAGAAATTATAGGAGGAGGAGAAGGAGGAAAATAAGAACAAATCTCGAGTTTCAAATCTATTAGATGTTATTTACAAGCGCTTTATGAAAATTGTTTTTTGTAAGTGCTCGTGTAGGGTAGCTCATGTGCCTCAATTTCCATGGATAGTCAACCCCAGAGATAAAAAAGTTCAGGCGAGCGTGGGGACAGAGAGAAATATAAAAGAAGAAGAATGCAGTAGAAGAATAATAAGAAAGAAGAAGAAGAGGAGAATAATAAGAGGACGAAGAAAGGAAAACTCCAAAGTTCCAAATCTATCAATTTTAATTTACAAACGCTTTATGACAATTTATTGTTTTAAGTGCTCGTGTAGGGTAGCTCATGTGCTTCATTTTCCATGGATAATCAACCCCAGGGATAAAAAAGTTCAGGCGAGCGTGAGGACAGATAGAGACATCCTTGAAACATTGCTCGTTTCGTTTGAGTCTGCCTCCCAAAATTATTGGTTTCGCTTGACACATCCTGAAAAAGTGTGATCGCTTCGCTTGATGTTGCTATATCAACATCGCTTGATGTTGCTATCTCAACATAGCGTTTCGAGGTGATAATGAAGTTCGGCCTCAGCGCTCGCCGCCCAATTTGAATTTTGTATAGGGCGACGATAATCAACTCTAAACACTGAAGGGGGGGGGTCCCTTTATTATCATCGGCATGCGGTTATCCTTGCCCTCTCCTCCTCTCCTCTCCCGTCGGCCGGCCGCGCGCCACGCGCCGAAGGCCAGCGTGGAGTGCGCACGGGCGCGACGCGCGCCCCCCCCCCCACACCTGGAGAGACGTCCCAAAGAGACGTCCCGTCTTCTCGTCCTCTCCTCCTTGCCTCCTTGCCTCCTTGCCTCCTCCTCCTCCTTCTCCTCCTCCTTGCCTTCTTGTCCTCCTCCTCCTCTTCCTCCTTGCCTTCTTGTCCTCCTCCTTCTCCTCCTCTTCCTCCTTGCCTCCTCCTCCTCCTCCTCCTCGTCCTCCTGCACCTGCTGGGGCTGAGCCTGTGGGGCGCCGAGGCAGATGCCATCTGCGAGACGGCCAAGGCCGGCGAAGGCTCCCAGGGGGACTGTCGGGCAGGGCTGTCCCGTACTCGTGCCCCAGGCTGGGCGGCCAGGGGTGGCGACCCGCGCGATCGAAATTCGTGCACCAGCCTCGCGAGACCCCTCGTCGGCCCATTCCTCCTCCTCCTTCTCCTGATTTGTTCCTGCTCTCCTCCTCTCTCCTCCCCTCCTCCTCTCCCCTCCTCCTCCGCCTCCTCGGAGGTGGAGGCGAAGGAGGAGGAGGCGGAGGCGGACGTGCAGGAGGAGGAGGAGGAGGATGAGGTGGAGGATGAGGTGGATGACATGGAGAAGGTGGTGGAGGAGGAGAAGGAGGAGGAGGAGGAGGAGGAGGAGGAGGAGGAGGAGGAGGAGGAGGAGGAGGAGGAGGAGGAGACGGAGGAGACGGAGGAGGAGGAGGAGGAGGGAGGAGGAGGAGGAGGAGGAGGATGAGGAGGAGGAGGAGGAGGAGGAGGAGGAGGAGGAGAAGGAGGAGGAGGAAGGAGGAAGAGGAAGGAGGCGGAGGAGGAGGAGGAGAAGGAGGTGGAGGAGGAGGATGAGGAGGAGAAGAAGGAGCGAGTGTGCCCGTCGTGGTTGCGCCACGGCGCCAGGACGTCGGGCGCTCTGCGGTTCTGCTGTCTCCCCGCGGGGAGGCGAGGATCAGCCAGGCTATTCCCCCCGGCAGTGCATCGAGGGCCGGGAGCACAGGAGTCCTCGTCTTCGTCTTCGGCCTCGTTCTCGTTCTCCTCCCCTCCTCCTCCCTCCTCCTCTCTCCTCCTCCTCCCTCCTCCTCCCTCCTCCTCTCCTCCTCCTCCTCCTCCTCCTCCCCTCCGGTTTCCTCCTCATTATCGTTCTCGTTCTCCTTCTCCTTCTAACCTCCTCCTCCTCGTCCTCGTCGTTCTTGTTCTGTGCTGCTGCTGCTCCTCCTCCTCCTCCTTCTCCTCTACCTCCTCCTCCTTCTCCTCCTCCTCGTTTTCGTCCTCCTTCTCCTCCTCGTTCTTCTCCTTCTTCTCCTTCTCCTCCTCCTCGTCCTCCTCCTCCTCCTCCTCGTTTCCTCTTCCTCCTTCTCGTTCTCGTTCTCCTCCTCTTCCTGCTCCTCGTCCTCGTTCTCCTTCTCCTCCTCCTCCTCCTCCTCCTCCTCCTCGTCGTCGTTGGCTGGCGCATAGCATTGTGTTGTCCGCTTCCTCCTCCTCCTCTCCTCCTCCTCCTCCTCCTCCTCCTCCTCCTGTTCGTCGTTGGCTGGCGCTTAGCACTGTAGAGTCCGTTTCCTGGCAGTGGCGATGGTGGCAGCTGTCATCATCCATTCCGTCTGACCAGAGCCAGAGAGAGAAAGAGAGAGGGAGAGATGCAGGTGCGCCGAAGAGGGCGGAGAGGAAGGGAGGGATCAGCGCATCATGGGGACGCATGCCGATTTGATGATGGGGGCCTGACACCTGGGAGACCTCATGCCCCCCCCGCCACGCTTCCCCCCCCCCCCTCCCTCCCCGCTCCCCTCTGATCCTCACCCCTCTCGCCCTCGAGCCCGAGAGGTGCGGCAACATTCGCGCCGCCCCGTTGCGGCCGCGACGCCATCGCGGGCGTTCCAGGCCGAGCGCCGCGGGCGGCCCCGCAGAACTCGGCCGACGCGGAACGACCTGGCGATCGAGAAGTCGCCGATCGCTCGAGGCTGAACGACCCACGCCGTGTGAGACGCCGGCGCACGGGGTCGCCACGGAGCGACTCGCGCCAGGTGGAACGACTCACGCCGTGTCGGACACCAGCGCCGGGGTCGCCACAGAACGAGCCTGCCGTGTGCAGTCGGGCCAAGGCACAAGATGCAGGTCGGCTCGGGGAGGGCGCCCTGCTGTTCTCGGTGCTCGTTGGATGCGCTTGTGCACCTTGGGGAGGGTACCCTTGGATTCTCTGTTCGTTTCGGCCGACGGAGGGTCTCATGTTCGTGAGGGAAGCTCTTCTGGCCTAGGTCCGACTGTACTCAGGGCCTCCCTCCTCCGCCGCCACCGCCTCCCCGACGAGTCTGCATGCTGTCCTTGTGCGTGCACGGCAACTGCGTGGGCGACGCGGGCGCGGCCGCGCTCGCCGAGGCGATGCAGCATTGCGGGAAGCTGTTGAGGCTCCTCCCCGCCGTCGGTCGAAGAAGGGAAAGCGGCACAAACACAAACTCTCGGCTTGGCATCGCTCGGACGCGTGCATGTTTTGCCGGTGGGGACCTTCGAGGAGCACTTCGGACCGTCGTGCCAAAACAAACATGCACGACATCGAAACGTACACGGGGAATGGGCGTCCGAGCGATGGCGAGTCGGCGTTCTGCGCGGATCTCTCGGATCGGCGCCCATGGCGCTGCCAGGGGGGTCCAGCTCCGATCCAAGAAGTCCACGCGGAGCTCCGAAAATTTATGTCTGTACTGCTCTTCACATCTTCCACCTCAGGGGTCGGCACAGACCACTGCTCAGGACAGCCTCTCGGGCAGTTTGTCTTCCTTCTGGCCCCGCCTTCGGTCTGTCCTCGCTCCGGGGAGCGACCGTCGGGTGCCAGACATCGCCTCACTCCAGAGGTGCTCACGTTAACGCTTTTTCTTGGTTTTGAGGAATCCCACGGGTCGTCTCCACCTTGAATCGACAGCGAAGCGAAGACGTAGAACGGTGTTTTGGTCGACCCCTGCTCGTTGTCGTCGTCGCCGTCGTCGCTGTCGTCGCCGTCGTCGTCGTTCTCCTCGTCGAGCCCTCCTTCTCGCGGAGGGAAATGCCGCCGCGGAGTCTGCCGCAGGAGATGAGGTCGAGCGCAGCCGGACCCTGCAACGGGCCAGCGGGGTGCCTCTGGCGCTCTAGTCGGCGGGGTGCGGCTCCCACGCCAGACAATCCCTCTCGTGTTGTTCACCCCCCCCGTCTCCCAGCCCTCCTTTGGTTGGGCACTCTTTTTGAATAGAGCACTTGTTGCTCCTCCTTCCTTCCCTCTGCCCGCCTCCACCTCGCGCGGAGTTCAATGGTGACCTCGCCACCGTCCTCGTATCCGTCATCGCCTTGCCCGTCGTCGCCGTCCTCGTCGTCGGGGGTGCCAGGCTGAACCTCAGCGGTGGCGTCGTCGTCATCATCGTCGTCATCGTCGTCGTCGTCGTGCCCGTGGTCGTCGTCGTCGTCGTCTTCGTCGTCGTCGTCGTTGTCGTCGTCGTCGTCGTCGTGGTCGTCGTCGTCGTCGTGGTCGTCGTCGTCGTCGTCGTGGTCGTCGTCGCCGTGATCGTCGTCGTCGTCGTCGTCGTTGTCGTGGTCGTTGTCGTCGTCATCGTCGTCGTATTTGTCGTCGTCGTCGTGGTCGTTGTCGCCGTGATCGTCGTCGTCGTCGTAGTCCTCGTCGCTGTTGCCGTCGTCGCCGTCGCGTCGTCGTCGTCGTCGTCGTCGTCGTCGCTATCGTCCTGTCCTGTCCTATTCTCCCCCTCGCTCCTACCCTTGCTCCTTCGCCTTTTGGCGGCGAGCCTTCGTAGCCGCCTCATCTCCGCCGGGCGCCAGGCTGAACCTCGGCAGCAACGCCATCGGCGACGCCGGTATCACCCGGCTCTGCCAGCCCCTGCAGGACCTCGGCTCGCTGCAGGCCCCGCGGTGGCCCAAGAACGTCCTCGACGGCGCCTTCCCCCGTGTCCTCCCCGAGCGGCGGCGACGGCGACGGCGGCGATGTAATGCAATCTATGCGGTGCAACCTATGTAATGCAATCTATGCGGTGCAATTTATGTGGTGCAATCTATGTGGTGCAATTGATTTTTACCCATGATTTGACGCATCCCACGCTCTTGCAAACATCCCACCCACCCACCCGCAGCTAGGTTTGCCAAACCTCTTAAGACCGTGACGGTGGGTACTAAATGGCACTTGGCAACGACAGCGACGCCGACGACGACAGCGACAACTACGACGACGACGCCGCCGCCACCGACTACGACGACACCGACGACGTCTCCAACGACTTCGACGACGACAACGACGACGACGACATCGACGACGACGACGCCGACGACGACGACGATGACAACGCCGACGACGACGACGCCGACGAAGACGACGCCGACGCCGACGACGACGAAGACAACGACGACGACGACAACGACGCCGCCAACGAAGACAACGGTGACGACGAGGGAGGAGGGAGGACGGCGACGACAACGACGACAACGACGAGGGAGGAGGGAGGACGGCGACGACGCGAACGACGAAGAAGGAGGAACGACGGCGACGCCGACGACGACAACGACGAGGGAGGAGGAAAGACGCCGACGACGAGACGCCGACGACGGACGACGACGACAACGAGGGAGGAGGAGGAAGGACGACCACGGCGGCAATGACGACGGAAGCGACCACGACGCCAAAGAGGACCACGACGACGAACACGAGGAAAGACAGAGGACGACGTAGGCGACGACGACGACGCGGGAGGAGGGAGGACGGCGACGACGACGACGACGACGCAAGAGCGCGCGCGCACGTTTTCGTTGAAAATCCGTGTTGCGCAACCTTGTGTATTGTAGTGGCCTCCGGCCAGTGCCGCCGATCCGGGACGTTTCCGTTGTTGCCGTGGGGGGGGGCTGCAAGGGCGGGGTCCGCTCTGCAGGGGACGCGAGCGACGACGACGACGAGGACGACGATGACGCGAGCGACGACGACGACGACGACGACGACGACGACGACGACGACGACGACGACGACGACGACGACGACGACGACGACGCGACGACAACGACGACGACGACGACGACCGACGACGACGACGACGACGACGACGACGACGACGACGACGACGACGACGACGACGAGACGACGACGACGACGACGACGACGACGACGACGACGACGACGACGACGACGACGACGACGACGACGCGACGACGACAGACACGACGACGACGACGACGACGAGGGGGGGAGCTGGGTTGCAGGGGGAGGGTCTGCTTGCAGGGGGGGTCCGCTCGGCAATGGGAGGGACTGCAGGGGAGAGGGCAGGGGATGGGGTCTGCTCTGCAGGGGGAGTCTGCTCGGCAGAGGGAGGGACTGCAGGGGAGAGGGGTGGTCCGCTCTGAAGGAGGGGGGGGCTGCAGGAGAGGAAGTCTGCTCTGCAGTGTGGGGGCAGGGGAGGGGGGAGCGTCCGCTCTGCAGGGGGGGGCTGCACGGGGCGGGGTCCGCTCTGCAGCGGGGGGGCTGGGCTGCAGGGAGGGGGGGCGGTCCGCTCTGCAGGGGGCGGGGGGTCCGCTCTGGGAGGAGGGAGAGCTGCAGGAGGGCGGGTCTGCTCTGCAGAGGGGGGGGGAGCAGGGGAGGAGAGGGGGATCCGCTCTGCAGGGGGGGGGGAGGCTGCAGGGAGGAGGTCCGCTCTGCAGGGGGGGGGGTGCTCTGCAGAGGGGGGGTTCAGGGGGAGGGGGGGGTCGCTCTGCAGTGGGGCGGGGGGGCTACAGGGGCGAGGTCCGCTCTGCAGGGGGGGGGGGGGGGCTGGGCTGCAGGAAGCGGGAGGGGGCGTTCTGCAGGGGATGGGGGGTTCCGCTCTGGGAGGGGGGGGGGGGGGGGGGCCGACGACGAAACGACACACTGAAATTAGTCGGAATTAGGTACGGAAAATGAGGCCAGCCCCCCGCGAAGCTTTTTGACGCCAGCAGCCTTTAGGTCGGAAATGAGGTCCCCCCCCCGCAGAGCGAAGCTTGAGCGAGCTCAAGCCCACGCTCTCAGAAACTCACACGCTGGATCGGCGGATTTGTAGGTTTTTTGGGCACACGATTTTGAAATCCTTCCGAAACCGACGGGTTTTGAAGGATTTCGGCATACGCGCGCGACGACGCGCGCGTCTGCACTGCGTCCCTTTTTTTGCAGAGGATTCTCGCGACGGCACACGCGCAAGGGCGTCCGACAGATTTCGACATGCGCGCGCTCGAAGCCCGTTTGGTAGCATTTTGTGTAAATTCAATTATCCTGGCGAAAGACCCAACCATACGCAAGTGTGAGAACCGCAAGGCAGGTGGGACGAAGCAAGGGGACTTTCCTATGGGGCCACGAACCGTGTGAGGGGGTGCTCCAAAATGGGGCGGGGCCGCCATGCGAACCCTGCCACTGGGGCCTTCGGTGGAGCTCCCTATGGGGCCACGAGCCGTGTGAGGGGCGCGCCACAATGGGGCCATGCGAACCTTGCCGCTGGGGCCTTCGGTGGAGCTCCCTATGGGGCCACGAACCGTGTGACGGGTGCGCCAAAATGGCGCGGAGCCGCCATGCGAACCCTGCCACTGGGGCCTTCGGTGGAGCTCCCTATGGGGCCACGAACCGTGTGATGGGTGCGCCAAATCGCGGGGCCCTTCATGCGAACCCTGCCACTGGGGCCTTCGGTGGAGCTCCCTATGGCGGCGTCCGCCCGCTCACGGTCCTTGCGCCGTTCCGCCGGATCGTCCTGACCGGGATCGTGGCCCACACCAAGGCTGCCGCGCAGGCCGCGGCAGGCTCCTACCAGTACGGCCTTGGGGTGCCTGGCGGCGCTGATGTTCAGTTCAAGGCGTTGCAAGCAGCTGTGCGTAATAGGCAGGGCAGCGTGCTGGTGGCGGTGGACGTGCCCAACGCGCTCGGCACGCTTGCGCGCCGGGGAGTCATCGCATCTTTGCGAGGAGCACTCCCTGAGTACGGGAACCTGCTTGCGAGACTCTACGCCAGGCCTGTTGCGGGGTTTTGGCGCGATGGCACCGCTGACACGCATGAGCTGCGCACTGGCGCCAGGGTGCCAGAGGGGTGCCCGCTGAGTCCGGCAGCAATTGCGGCCACTTTGCACCAGCTGGCGTTACAACACTTCTCTGCCAAACCGCAGTGGCTCGTCACCGCCCACCTGGACGACGTCGTTGCTGTGGTGCCGAGCGCGGAGGCAGAAGAGTACCCGCGACAGTTGTCCAGGCTGCTGGGCCCAGGCGGTCTTGAGCTGGACCCACGCAAGACGAACGTGTGGCTGCCCCTTGGCACTGCGCACTGTCCGCCCTCCCTCCGGCCGTACGTGAAGGACGAGCTCCAGGTGGTGGGCTGCAGCCTGACGCGCCGATAGGACGACGACTGGGGCGCCCTGGCCGCGGGAGCTGGAGGCGGGGCGCGCGCCTTGGGCGCCGTCACCGAGACGCTCCGGGCTTTCGGGCAAACGCTCCGGGAGGCAATGGCCGCAGGACTTGGGCCATAAGAGGCAACGGCGATGCTCGGGTGGACAGCCCAGGGCTTGCCGAACCACCTCTTGCGCTCGCACCTGCAGGACCTGGTGGCCGTCCGGGCCTACGACACGGTGTTTCGCGGCCTCTGGAATGACCTCCTGGGCGTCGACATGACCGATCGGGAGTGGGTGCAGTCCTGTTTGCCCCTCCGGGATGGCGGTCTCGCGGCAGGCGCGGCCGAGCCTCGGCGGGAGGCGGCGCGCATCGCCGCGTAGCTCGACGCTGCTCCGCGGGTTGCGGCGGCGCTTGGGGCCGCTGGCGCCGAGGCTCTCCTCGCCGCGCGCGCTGCGGGCACGCAGGGATGTGAAGCCGCTGTGGTGACGTACAACGCTTCGGTCGGCGCAGCCCACTGCCTGCAGACGTCGCTGGCCCAGGGAGAGCGCCACCGACAGAAGGACCTGGTGGGCCCGCGGATGGAAATGATTGCAGGCGTCGCCAAAGCTGGCCTGGACCACCACGAGCGCGGTCGCCTGCTGTCCGCGGGGGGCACGGGGGCTGGCGCTTTCACCAGGTTGCCGAGTAAGCCTGAACACAGGGTGCATCCTGAGCTGTACCGCATCGCGTTGCGGCGGCGCCTTCTGATGACTGGCGCAAGGCTGCTGCGCGGACTGGAGCCGCAGACGCACTGTCGAAACACATCCCGAGAGGGGGTGATTTGCGGAGCGGTTCTGTAACCCGACCAGCACCGCGCCTTGGCGTGCGAGACGGAGGGCGCCGCGTGGCGCGAAACGATCGCATTCGCGACCTGCTGGCCCGCTGGCCTGCCCGGCGCGTCCCAGCATGGGTCCAGAAGGAGCAGGTTGTGCCCCAGTGGCACAGGGCCCGCCGATGCGTCGTGAATGGTGTCGAGACGGCGCGCGTCGAGACGGCGGTCCTTGACGTCGTCTGGGCCTGCCTGCCAGGGCGCCGACGTGGTCGTGGTTAGTCCAGACAGTACTGACGCGAGGGAGGAGCACGCTCGGGCGCAGAAGCCTGGCCTTGCAGCGGAGGACGCGGCCCGCGAGAAGCGGCGCCGGTATCCGCCGGGGCCTACGACGCCTTTGCCCACTCCTTTAAGATCGAGACTGGTGGACGAGTGGGTTCTGCTGCGAGACGGCTGATTCTGGATCACCTGGGCCGCTCTGACGGAGAGGCAGGAGCGTCTGCCGATGCTGTCGCTTTCCGGCAAGAGCTCACTGCTGTTCTGCAAACGGCGGTTGCTGAGCAGTTGCTCAGCGCCCACAAGCCCCCTGTCGTCTGGAGCGGGCGCTGAGCACAGTGGCGAGCATCCCACCGCAGACTGGCGGGCCCGATGCGTTCGCCGAGGACGTCATCAGGGGCAAGCATCGCCGCTGGCGCACGGCAGGCCCGATGCGGTTGCCGAGGGGCTGGGCCCCCGTG